TAGTGTCCAGTGTTTCTGTGTCAACCCCTCACTCACCGTGACCAGCATAGGCACACTATTCTCTCTCTCTCTGTCACTCAGTGTGAAGCAGAAGAAAGTCTTCCCAGCAATGTTGAGCAGAGGGCAGAGTAGCGATACCTGCCCACAGACCACCAGCCTGACACCAGGACTACGAAACCTGGAAAACAGACAGAAAGAGGAACCAGTTGTTCCTGACTGGTCACTACAATACACACTTTCTTTGTCACCCATGATATGTTTTATAGTCTCCCTCTTCCTCACCGCTGTTTGAGGAGCCTGGCAGTTTCATGTGGTCTTAAGGCTCCCTGAAACAGGGGTTCTTCAGGTTCAAGGGTCAAAGGGCTGGGTAGTATAGGCAGTGGGGGGCAGCACAGCTCAAGATAACCCTCTACTTTCTGTCCAGAACTTGCAGCATTCTGGGGGATGTAGTTCCAGTTTGGAAACAGCATCAACCGACCCAGCCAATCAGTAGACAGATGGAGAACCTACAAGGACAACAGTTTTATTAAAATCAACAGGTATATGCTATACTGTAGCACCTGTATCCAATTATAGTTTTTTATAGTATATAAAAAGATCTTTCAAGCACACCTCACAATACAAAGAACCACTTCCATCCTTCAGACTCAAACTCCCATCATACACAGCTTCCCTGCCCAGGCTGCTGCTATGGTGATCTGTCAGGCAGCCAATCAGCAGAAGGTTGTCCCGGGGCAAGACTCTGCAGTTAGCTACACGCCGCTCACCCTCCTGGGCCCATTCTCGGAACTGACTTGTGCTCCAGGTCACATGACTGCAGCATGGCGTGTGTTGCCTGGCAACCAGCTCTCCCATGGAGACCAGCCTGGCAGAGACAACGTGGTAGGAGACATATCAGACAACAGAGTGCGTGCTAAAGAGGCACCGAGAAAGAGAGGTTCAGACACAGACAAAATTTAAGCACCATGTAGACCAAGTAGAGGGAAGATTGCGACCTGAATTCCATGACATAGTGAGTCTTTGTCCTAGCTGTACCTTAATTAGCAAAATGGGTTAATTGACCAATTAGGGATCAATTCTGTTGTTAACTTATTACAAGAGTCAAAGCATAGGAGGGTCTTGTGTAGAAGCAACACCACATGCTCCAACTTTCAAGCTTATTTTGAAATAAACTTGCAGAAAAAGCTGAAAAGTGAGAATGTATCTAGTGCAGTAATGCAGTCTTGTAGAACAAACAGAATATGTGTGGAGAGGAACACGTGTTTATCTTAGTGGAGTCTTTAGAGGACATGACTGGAAACTACAGATCAGCACAAATAAAAATGAGAACAGAGGGGTTTTTTTTTTTACACAAAGGGTTGTGGAATTCCGGAACAGGGAGCCCGGCAAATTGCAGAAGCCGATGCCCTGACTGTGTGGAAGAAATGGCTTCAGTCTGTGGAGGAGTCTTCTGCAGCTTGGAAAATATGGGTGGATTATCCAGGTGTGCAATGGAAGTTAGATTATCAGCACTGTAAAACGTGGAGTGAAAGACTACAGTGCAAAGGGAGCTGAGTCTGCCTTTAAAATGGTATATACCTGTAGCTGAGAGGCACCGAGTCTGGGCCAGTGCCCAGCGCCTGCTGTGTCGTCCTGACAACAGCCAATGCGAGCACGGCGACACAGCTCCCAGCAAGCTCTCCCACAGGAAGCAGGTTCTTCTCAGTGAAACAGTAGACATCCTGGAGCCACTGAACTTCCTGAGAGACAGAGTGATAGGGAACCACAGCTAGAGTCTGAAACTGCAGACATAAAGAGGCACTGCAGCTGCAGACAGAATCCACAGGCAGACAAGTACAAAAGCAGCATACCTGCTCTCCATTCAGGGTGTTCATGTACTGCTCTATAAATATCAACAATCTGCATGAACATCTGCATCAGGCTCTGCAGGATGCACAGAATGCCTGAGATGGTCCAGATGCCATTTTACCATGCATGGAATTTCCATAAACACATGAGAACCAGTATAATAAATATGGCCAGGCTTTAAAAAAAAGATCTGTATAACATACAGTAGATACTGTGTCTGATAAAGCTGCAGCAGGTACAAGCCCAGAGATACGACTGTGTCAGACCTGCATGGTCACTCACAGGCCACTTCAGTCACTGTGGTACAAGACAGCTGCAGCAGGTACAAGCCCAGAGACACGACTGTGTGAGACCTGCATGGTCACTCACTGGCCACTACTGTCACTGTGGAACAAGACAGCAGTAGTCCTGAAATATATGACTGTGTCCACACCTGACGCATTGCCCTTGTGTGATAATTAACGGGTTGTGGGGCACACAGAGAGACTCCACCTGGGAAGACTGGACCGCTGGGCTAATTGCGTTACAGTGGACAGATGACATTAACCTAAGGGGGCGCACGCACATTTAGAACATTTGAAAGAAATGATATAATCGTTTCTTGCAGGGAAGCGATGCAGACAGAGATGGAAACGCAGTACAACCAGACTCCGAACCTCTGAAGCTCGCCTCCAAATGTGAGCGCGTTTTCTCTCGCGCTTTCTCACATCTTCCCGAAGACTAATCGTAAAGGGTCGTGCTTTAATCATTTTCCTCTTTATATTAGAACTCACTTCTAGTATTAGAAGACTAGGTTTATTTCCTGTTGTGTGTTTTGTTATTTGCCAGAGGGTATAAGGATGTATACAGTATGTACTGTATAAGGTACTCGAGAGCTTGGTCATAGCGTGCGCATTTTTGTTATCCGTGGACAATTAAAAGCCCCACACAGGAGACAGATTAGTATGTTTACATGGTAAATATCTTATTAACGACTTGAGAATACTGTACTTCATGATTGGTGCCAACAGAGCTATTTGAAATGAATAGAAAAGGTGATTAAAGAGAGACTGACAAATGCAGACAGGGGGACGGAGACAGACTGACAGATGCAGACAGGGGGACGGAGAAAGACGCAGAATGACAGATGCAGACAGGGGGACGGAGACAGACACAGACTGACAGACGCAGACTGACGGATGCAGACAGGAGGACGGAGATAGACACAGACTGACGGATGCAGACAGGAGGACGGAGACAGATGCAGACAGGGGGACGAAGACAGACAGACTGACAGATGCAGACAGGAAGACGGAGACAGACCGATGCCGAAATCGTCTGTAGAGGCTTGTATTATTGACTCAACAAAAGACAGCTCCAGGCACTTACTGCTTGGCTGGGCGACTGAAACTCTCTCAGAAACTCGTCCATGTTCCTCCCGGCGGGAGCGGACAGCAAACACACACAGCCTGCAACGAAGACTGGGTCTGTTCCAAGACGAAATAACGAAACTATCGGGAA